GTTTTTTTTTTTAAATTAAAGTACTTGTGCATGAGGCGTGGCAAGGAGTTGCAAAGTCACGATCGGATAAAGGCGCGAAAGAGATATGAAACATTGCGTACTTGAGCTTATTAGATAAACGAAGAACGTACGCGATTTAAGTGACTCGGTTAATCTGCATACATCTGTGCCTATTTCAGATGTACGCACATGTATGTAAATTTCTATCTCTCACTTATTTTAACTCCGTTTATAAGAGCTGCGTAATAAATTTCGCCGCAATTTCGTCGACAATTGTTTCGAAGTGGCGAATGATTGCAACGAATATCAGTTTATGAAGGACATAAAATTATTTGCAAAATACCTGTTGCTGCTTCGATTCTCAATCAGCTCAATTTTCGGTGAAGTTGAACAATTTATTTACATCATGAAGATCCAATTTATTGTTACACCTAAAATTCCAGAACTTTTTTTAAAACAGAAATAAGAACATCTTTTTATCGATAATTAATGGTTTGTTTCGTCGATCGATTGCTATAAATAAAACTGTTATTCGAAAATTTGTAATGGTTTATATGGATATTTATTGCTCACAGCTATTCTAATTTGCTGATAACGTATCTACATTCTAAATCCGTATAGCCACTGACACGAAAATAATAAATATTTTTTTTTTGGTCACAGTTTAATAACGCTCGATTTTTCAATATATTTTATCACTTTGCGTCTCGCGGCTCTGCGCATACGACATCCTCGCCGTGGCGATCGTCAGTGCCGGGTGTTAGGTAGACATACTATCGCTTATCAGCATCTATACCGCTGATAAGCGGCGTAACGAAGCGAGTTGGCCGGGCTTATCGCCGCCGTTCGAGAAATGGACCCCAGTTCCTCGCAAGCGACCGTCGTCCACGCAATCTTTCGCATTACCTCGCTCATCAGTTTCCACTTTTTTGGAGATCGACTCTCTCGCGAGAGAAGGAGAAAGAGAACGGATGCGGCGAGAGTGAACTGTTGTGTGTCGGTTTTTGGGCGAGACTTCGTGCTTTGTGTAGACGTGAATTCGTGTATGACGTATATATATATATATATATATATATGTAGACAATGTGGGTGTGCGTGTGTGTGTGGGTCACGCGGCACGCTTCGCGTGTGTGACACGCCGCTGATAGCAGACGCTTGCGATCGACGGAAATTTATACGCCAGTGTCGCGGTTCTTCCAAGTCATAATTTTTAATTTTACGAAGAAAAAAAACGTATTTTACACCGCCGTATCGTTATCGAGCATCGCTCGTGACGCTCGTGTTCCGGCAACGGAATCGAAAATTTCAAGTGAATTTATTGAAGTGGTTGCACGATTGCGGAAAGAAGTGCTGATGTAGCGGTTTCTACACTACTGTTATATACATATATGTATAACGAACATAATCCTGAAGCATATATGTTATATTCGATTTTTCACGTTCTTCTTAAACAGGAGCATCCAATTTTTATTTTTATTTTTTTTTCCAATTTTTCGCGTCCTCTTTTTTTAATCTTACTGCTTTAACGACGTAGAATCTCGTGCAACAATTAATCGAAAATTGCTTCGCATTTGCGGTTATTAGGGAAATCCTCACGATACCGATTACTTGTTAATTACGGGAAGAGAAACGGCAGTCGCCGTTGCGAAGTCATTTCTGTGAAGCAATAGGAAGTCCGCATTGTTGTTAGACGGTCGTACGACAATTAATACCGCGGCAGATTTGTACAGACTTTTTTTCTCCGAGAACGGTCTTAGGTCGCGATGATTGCACTCTACCTCCGGCAATTACGCGTTCTACCGGAATTTTCCCAGCCTCCGTGAAAAGGTTTCCTTGAAATATAATATCGTCCTCCTTGCAACGTGAATTTGTGCTAGAAAACCTGTACAATATTCCAGAATTTTTGTCTGAATCTTTTCATCTATAAATTTTTTAACGTCAAAAAAATGAAAATTTTTGAGTGAATATACATAAAACAACCCCTGTCGAGCTGGCCCCTCCCCCCCCCCA